CTCGCTCTGGAGATCAGGCTGGCCTCAAACTCACAGAGATCTGCCTGTCTCTGCTTCCTGAGTGCACCCAAACTTATCTTTAAAAATTAATTTATTTTTATTTTCTGTGCATGTGTGAGTGCCTGTCTATATGTATGTATCATCTGCATACCTAGTGCCCATGGAGAACAGAAAAGGGTGATGGATCCCCAAGAACTGAACTTGCAGGTGGTCATGAGCCACCATGATGGTGCTGGGAACCAAACTGCGATCCTCTACAAAAGTTATGAGTGATTTTAAGCTCTGCATCCTCTCTCCAGCAACTCAGAGACCCAGAGAATATGCATTTCTATGAGTTTTAGAAACTGCTTTTGGATTTATAAAAAAAAAAAAAGATGATCTATTTCAGTTTGGTCAAAGCAAGGTGGGCATGGGTCCCTCTCCTCTAGGTTCCCTCATCTTACAAAGGATGTAGTGTCCCAAGTGTCAGGAGTCACTAACTCATATTTCAGATGCTCTATTATTTAGGAAACTCTTTACTATATTGTTCCTATTATTTTAGGTTTTCCAAGTTGAGAGACATATACAAACTAGTACTCTACTTTGACTAAAAACACATTGCACAAGTTTTAGTATCTTAACAGAGATATCTGGGTCAACAATCTTGATGAACTCTGGGTTTGAGTTTTATTTATTTGGGGTGTTTTCATTTGTTGTTTGTTTGTTTTAACCAAGGAGTGTTCTTCCTTTAATTAAAATATTTGGGAACCTCTTTTAGTACCAGATTCTAGGCCAGCATTTCAATATGTTAGAAAATTCAGAGAAAAGCACAGATGCTTTTACCTACATACCTCCAAGTCTCTGAATCCTGATGTTTGCTTTTCTGTAGACTCCAGTTCTGAATGCTCACTTTCTGTTTTTCTTGTCACCTGCTGCTGCACAGCACCCCAGAGCTGCAAACCACAGTGAATCCAGCATTCCAAAACTAATCACTTTCTTCTCTCCTCAGCTTTGGAATGCAGGCACACTGAGCCAAGAGCCTCCTTTTGTACAGAACTAAGAAATAATTTCCTCTGCCTGAGAATTGTAAGAAAAAAAAATGGATCTATGAGTGGAAGGCAGATTTCTAAATGACAAATCATTTAGTTATTTTTCAAATGTGTTTATATTATTCCTAACAGGGAATATATTTTTTTTTTATTGAGAACACTTTAGCCCTTTCCTATTTCACTCCTGGTTTGTTTGTTTTCTTTTGTTTTCATTGTTTTCTTGTTGTTGCTTGTTGGCTTGAGACAAAAACATTATTGATCAACAATTTCAGGAAAGGTGGAGGGAGGATGGTCTATCTTAGACATTGAGCCTCATGCTTATTTCATGCATATACATGGTAGACATGGACTCCAACCATTAACCCCACATCCATTCATTACAGGGTAGAACTGGGCTCAAACATTGGCTTCACATCCCATTCACATACAGAGTAGACATGGGCTCCAGCATGGACCCCATAGTGAGCTGGCTTGTCCTTTTTTTATACTTGATAGAATTTCTAAGATGGGAAATACTTTTTTGTGTAATTTTTTAAAACTGAATATCTTGGAGCCTATTATTTTTTTCTTCTACCACAACAGTGTTATTACAAGTCACAAATATTTCTACTACTCATAAATTATAAATAGCTCCCAGCTTGTACCAGACATTGGTGTACTTTGAAGGAAAAAAAGTGTTCTCTGTCTTTTATAATACTGAGTCTTTATAAACATCATCTGTTACTTGGTTACTTGGAGACCACCTTGGTAGCATAGTCTCTATTTTTAAAAATAAAAAAACATTATTTTTCATAGCTTAGAAAACATGTCAGAGGATAGTTTGCTGTGGTTAATGCTTGGACCAAGGAAGCTTGGTTTTTTAGTTTTTATGATTTTTTTAAATTTTATCAAAATTGTTATCATTAGTTTTTATCTTTGAAAGTGGGAAATTAAACACAACCTTTTTGGTTTCCCTTTATAGTAACATTACCATGTGGGTAGTCACAATTCTCAGTCTTTGCTTAACTAGCTCAGAGGCAAAACTACATATTTTACTAAAAGGAATGACAACAAAAGTATAGCAACTATCTATGTGCATTTTTAAATTATTTTCTCATCTATAGTTAGCAAACCAGATTAGGAACCTATTGCAGGAACCTCTTTTATTTTATTTAATTGATTATGTGAGGCAACATTTGTAGAAGCAGTAATTATTTGAATAAATATTCAAATGATCTGAAACTGAGAAAGGAAAACCATTTAAATTCAGTTATTCAGAACTGATTATAACTCCTGAATTTCAGGATCTCTGTCTAACTTCCTACTTGTTCCATATAAGTTGCATCTCTCCTCACTTTGTTCTCCAAGCCAGTTCCTGATGCTAGCAATAAAAAATAGCCCACAGAAGTCTAGAAACTTACACACAAATCCACAGTAATGAAACATGATGATATTATTTGACAATGGAATAAACCTCCCAGAAGCCTCTGAATCCAAAGAGCATTTTCCTTTGGCACCCAGCAGAGTGGTTCAGTAGACAATGCAAATGAGTCTATAGTGTGCAAAACCAGACTTCCTCCACCAGGAGAGAGCTCTACAATAGGACTCCTTTTAGGCTGCAACTCTTCCTGTTCTAATTCCCTTTCTTTGTTTCTCTTAAAATTTGTACTACACATTACTGCAGAAAATGCAGATAATACACACCACGCAACAGATATGCTACAGCTTGTAATCTCTGCATAGAAGGGTACCTGCTATATTTTGTCAAGTATCATCTTTGACTTTGTATTCGTAGTCTTGTTTTCTCCATTAATTATTTTATATAGTATTTTGCCATAATCATTGCCATTTGCTAACATATCATTAAAATTAATTTTCAAAAGATGTGAAATGTTTCCAGTATATGTATATCGGATGGATTTTGCATTTTTGTTTGTTTCCATTAGTAGTATCTAGCTTGTATCCAGATTGCTAGTCTAAGAAACAATGCAACAATAAATATCTCCACTTAACATTTTTCTGTGTGTCTACTTATTTCTTCAGTGTATATTCTAACAGCAAACTGTCTTTTTTTTTTTTCTTGGAGAAAGACCTTCAATTATCTATTATATCAGCCTGAACAGACTAAGACAAGGAAGAAATAAAACATTCACAAAGTAGGAAGAAAAAAAGAATTAATCCTTCTACAAACTTGGCTGGATGGTAACCCTAGAAAATACACTTCAGACAGCAGAAAACAAAGAAAAATCTTTATCGGGAAAATAGCAAACTATCCTGCCAGAAAATCTGTCTCTTCCTCAATTTATAGACTGCAGTCTCCCATGACCCTACACAGAGAATGACTCACAGTTTACTTGGACGACAGTCTCCTGAGCGGCACTCACTACCTGCTGCACATTCTGCTTGCTGGAGTCCACAGGGCTCCTCCCAGTCTTTCCAGCCAAGTTCATCCAGATTCCTCATGAAAACATCACACACTGACTGATGGTCAGGAAAAAAATGTGAACTCTGATAGACTATCTAACCTTTATTAAATAATAAAATTCCTCAAATTCCACAGCTTAGCTATCATAACAAATAACAAGCATTCGGCCCTAACTATGTACTAATAATCACAAGGAATACAAAAGTCAGTGTTGAAGAGCTCACAATCTAATAGTGGAGGTATGCAAATTACTAAATGAATCCAGAACAATGCTATACATATAATAAAAGAGGCATATAGAGAGATAGCTCAGTGGATAAGATGCTTTGAATGAACATGAGGATTTAAGTTTGATTCCCCAGAAACCACTTAAAATACTGGATCTGGACACACACATCTGTCACCCTAGCACTCTGAGGGGTGAAGAGAGAAAATTTGCTTAGACATGCTAACTGCCAGTATTGGTTCAATGAGAGACTTTTTCTCAAAGGAATAAGAGAGAAAGTGTATGATACAGTAGGACACATCTTCTCCGGCATCTGTACAGGCACACGCACACACACACACACACACACACACACACACACACACACACACACACACACACACACACAATTGAAACATTAAATAGACTTTACCTGTGGTGATATGTTGTTTATGTTTTAACAAAGCTTGTCTGGGGATCAGAATGCAGAGCTAGCCACACTAGTTAGCAATAGATGCCAGGCAGTGGTGGTATGCACTTTTAATCCCAGGACTAAGGAGACAGAGTCAGATGGTCTCTGTGAGTTCAAGGCCACCCAGGTCTAAACAACAGTAAATCAGTCTAAAAAAGAAACAGCTCACACAAAGGTTATCTCAGCACTTGGAGCTCACACCTTTAATCCCAGCACTAGAGAGGTATATAAGGAGCTCAGTGTCTCATGCTGGATGTACTGGTGATTAGTCTCTGGCCACATTGAGGACAGGATCCCCCTTCCAGCCTTGGAAGAGGTAAGATCTCTCTGATGGCTTGACTGCTTTGTTTCTCTGATTTTCATCTTGAACCTCAATATCTGTCTCTGGATTTTTATTATTTGTGCTATATTTATCTAAGGTGGTGACATACACTCACCATTGGACAACTCCAAATAGAGGATGCACAGAAAGGTAGGAGTGTATAATTTCTGTTTGGGGGGGGGGGTTAAGTCAAGTAGGAGAGAAAAAACTAAGGCAAATTAACACACAAACTAAAACATAACTATAAATAATGGAAAGTAGCAGGAGGAAAAACATACACAAAGTACAAAATGAATGATGGAAAAAATTATTAGAAACTAAAGATCAGTCAAGGGCCTTCAGAAGAAACTTATTTCAGCTAAGAAACAAACAAACAAACAAACAAATAAATAAATAAATAAATAAATAAATAAACATTATCTAGGAAAGGACTTGGGAAAGAAAGTTCCAGGCAGTCAGAACACATTGAATGAAGACTTTGAGATGATCCATACTATTTGCATATAAGGATAGCAAGAAGAGATCCTATACAGACTTTGGAAGCTGGGAACCAGCCAATTCAAAGTTTAGTAGCCAACTGAAAAAAATTAATTTCCTTATAAGAATGTAGTAAGGCAACAAGGGAAAAATTCTTCCCAAATGAATAAGTCCTTCTGATTTGTGTAGAACTGTATATACTCTGAATGAACACATGCTGCCATTTTCAATGACGGCCTCTCATCACTGAGGGCTAACTGTCCTCTCTCTTATCTCTTTTCATCTCCCACATATATCACATATTGTCCTCAGAATCTCAGTTAGCCAAGTTGAATTAAGGACTTTCTGTCTCCCCCACCATGGGGTCTTTTCTTTCCTCCTGACTCTAACTCAATGTCTCAGAGTCTCATCTTTCTAGCTTCTCCTAGGATTTCATGCATTCTGTGTTCATTAGTAAAGTAGTGGAAATTTATATACATTGAATGTGGTAATAATATTGGAAAAAGTACTTGCAGACCATGCTGGCTAATCTTGGTTGTCAATTTGACTACATCTGACATTAACTGCAACCCAAGCCAATTCACACAGTTGTGAATGATTTTTCTTGATTGGATACAGTGCTGGATTCAGGCCCCTTGAACATGGCTATCAGTTAGGAGGCTTGGACAGTCTATGGGGCTTTTGGTAGTGGAACAGTATTTATCCCTAATGTACCAAGGACTTTGTGAGACCATTCCCCATAGAGGGATACTTTCTCAGCCTAGACACACAGAGGAGGGCCTAGGCCCTGCCCCAAATGATATGACAGACTTTTATGATGCCCCATGGAAGGCCTCACTCTCCCTGGGGAACAGAGGGAACAGAGGGGAGATGGGATGGGGAGTTTCTGGGGGGCATGGGAGGGTGGGAGAGAGAGGGAACTTGGATTGATATGTAAAATAAGATTGTTTCTAATTTAAATAAAAGAAATCTAGAAAGAAAAAAGTGCTGGTTTCAAGGAAAATGGCCTCCAAAGGGAGAGACACTATTATCAGGTGTGGCCTTGGAATGGGTTTTGTCTTGTTGGCAGAAGTTATTGTGGAGGTGGCCTTTGAAGTCTCATATGCTCAAGATACTACTCACTGTCTCAGACCACTTCCTGTTGCTTGTGAATCAAGATGTAAGGACTCTTGGTTCCTACTCCAGCACTATTTGCCTGCACATCACCACATCACACCATGATGATAATGGACTAAATCTCTGAAAATGTAAGCCAACCTGATTTAATGTTTTCTCTTTACAAGAGTTTCTGTAGTCACGGTGACTTTTCACAGCAATAGAAACCCTAACTAAAACAGAAGTTGGTACTGAAAGACCCCCCAGAGGCTCAGGCCCCCAGGATCTCAATCCAGGACTGCGACGACCCCAATTACCAGGCAAAGTCAAAAGCTTGACTTAAACAGCACAAGGCTTTATTGCAGAGCTAACCCCATGTTAGCTTGGGCCTTTCATCCACCCACCATGGCAGATGGTTAGGAAAGATGGTGAGAAGCCGCTGCATAGAGATCTTATAGGGCAGTGTAAGGGGAGTGTCTAGGGGTACGCACAGGCTCAGGATTGGTGTGCCTCCAGGCTTGGAGGGCCTGGCCTATGTTGATTGGTCAACTGGTGGTTATGGCCCATAGGCCCTCCCGGGGTGATTGCTATGCTTTGTGCATCATTGCTGTGTACTTCTCCGTAAAGCACAGCACCACCAGCTAACTTCTGATTGGTTCCTTGCCACGAGGCAGGCATCTGACCTCCTAGTGACCAAGGCAAGGTCAGGCAAGCATGTGTTAGACTGCCATGGCTGCCAAAATGGGGAGCTGGTCCCTTCAGTACCAGGGACTGGGATATTGCTGTGACAGGCCTGACCATGCTTTTGGTGGGGGAATTTGGACTTTGGGAGTTTGAGTTAGGAAAGCAGTGGAATGGTTTAAACTAAGCATTTCTTAAAGGGCCATACCACCAGGAGCATGAAAGTCTGGTTCTAAGAGTGACTTGAACTATGGGAGTAGCTCAAGAGATTTCAGATAAGAAGAATATGGTGATATATTATTTATGACCTAATAAAGCCATTGGAGATCAAAATTCGATCAAAATGCAAAGCTAGCCACAGCCATAGAGCCAGGTTTTAATCCCAGGACTCAGGAGACAAAGGAAGATAGATCTCTGAGTCCAAGGAAATGCAAGACTACGAGAGAGTGAATCAGAGCTCATGCCTTAACCCCAGGATTTGAGAGGTAAAAAAAGGAAAAAGAAAGCAGTTTCATGTGAGAATTGGCCTCCAGACATGTTGAAGAGAACATAGCAATCTTGGATTGCAGTCTGAGGCTTAATAGAGAGCAGTGTAGTCTGCATTGCACTCTGAGGATTCCTAGAGTCAGGATAGACATTTCAGTCTGAGGTAGAGAGAGGTAATAGGTAGTAGCTGGCTGCTTTGCTTCTCTGATCTTTCAGCTTGAACACCAATATCTGTCTCTGGGTTTTTATTATTAGTGTTTAAGAAGAATTTTAGTATGTTGCCTGGAAATCATTTTTTGTGATATTTTGGTGAAGCATGTGTCTGCTTTTTGATCTTGTCAAAAAAGTTTGCCTGAGGCTAAAGTGAAGGGTTTTGGATTAATTCCGTCAGCAGAAGAAATCTCAAAACAGCCTAGTACATAGACTCTGTTGTGTGGTTACTAGTGTCAACTCTAAAGAAGGTATATAATGAAAAGGAGAAAACTGAGCAAGTCACAATATTTGAGGAGAAAAAGAGCACCAGGAAGTGGAATAGAACTAAATTCTGTGTTCAAGAAGATAAACAGATTAGGAAATGGAGTAAAGGAAGTGGTGAATTCAGGGCAAGATGCCACCCAGCTAAATTTACAATTTATGAAAAGGAATTAAAGAAAATATTAGAGTAGGGTGTGGTAGCACATACCTTTAATCCCAGCATTCAGAAGGTAGAGGGTGGTGGATCTCTGAGTTTGGAGTCAGCCTTGTCTACAGAGCAATTTCTAGGACAGCAACCTGAGGCAGTGAAGGAAAACAGAAAGCTGGTGAAGACGTAGTTGAACAAGAAGGCCATTTTCCAGCCCTAGCAAGCAAGGATCAGAACTTGGCAGCTTTGGCCACATGGTTCTGATTTAGAGTTAAGGATAGAAGAAAGGGGCTGTGGAATTTGGAATTTGTCTGTATGACTAAGGAAAGCTGCTGAGGTCAGATATGTGTCAGGGGTATCCCTGAATGGAGGCCTAGAGAAGCCATCACATGAAGCTGTGAAGTTAAGCCTGGAATGCCTTGGAGACCCCCAAGATATTGGAGATGCCAGAGCGGTGAGATACCTGCCAAGAAAAACTGCTAACAGGGAATGGAACCATCCCAAAAGAAAGAAATATGTTGCAGTCAAAGCTGAAAGGAATTGGAGATCTGAAGAGCGTTTTGACATCAGACAGAGAGTTTGGAGTTTGTCTAGCTGTTTTTTTTGGTGTAGCTTCAGTCCAGTATTCTCTCTTTATGCTGTCTTCCCTACATTTTGGAATTGTAATATATATCGTATGCCATTA